GCACACCTGAAACTCTCATTCTCAGCATCAAGAGGGTCAAAGTGAAATAGCTGTAAATAAAGTCCCTGGCATGCTAACGTTGCTCAAAGGTAGGACTCCAGCTGCATTCAGGTGGCATTTTATTACGAGTATAAATAACAGCCCCGCCGCATCTGGGAGGTGGCAGCCCGGTCTGGAAGAAGGAGCTCGGAGCCAAGAGTGAAAGGTCTTGTGTTCCAACTTGCTGCTGTGGTGGCCACTCTGTTTCTTTATATGTTACTCACACGTATGAAACACAGTTCTTAATGCTTGTCATGCAGAGATAAGACAGATCTTGCTCTATTAACAAAAGCAAATATGAAGGCACCTGTATTGGGCCCACAATTATCTTGGCTGGTTAAAACCACTGTATAAGATTAGTGGGAGAAATTGACTGCTTCTCTGTGAGCAGATATTTGTGGTTCCCTGTCTCATCAGGGATGATTTGTCTCAGCTACAGAAATGTCACCTTTACTGGTTTAGGTAAATAACTAAAGGGTACACAACAAAGGTTTGGAAACCTCGTGTTTTCCTGACTATGGATAACCTGTTTTTGTTGCTATCTCCTGTACGGCTGATCCCCTGTACTGCTGATCCCCTGTACTGCTGATCCTCTTGGTGCCATATACACCCAGTTTTCAAGGTCACACTGAGCAGGGTCACACCCCCACACACTCCATACATGCAGTTCAGTGCCTGGTAGAGAGTTATTTTTCAAAGAAGAGGATTTTCAGGCAGTGGTTCTCTCTCTCTTTTGGGACAGTTTTTCCCAGCTATGGAAACACCACCTTTTCTAGTTTTAGCAAAAAACTAAGAACATGCAGATATGCTGCCTTCAGGACACACTCACCAACTCTCCTGTTTTCCAACAGTACCAGTCCAAGGACCAGATACTGCTCATCATGGCCTGATGTAGTCTCTCCCTCTTACTCTGTTGCTAGCAGATGAAAAATGTAACTCACCTTCATTAGTAACCTCAGGGGACCCAGCCCCAGAGCCAACTTCAGACTTCTTTCTTGAGTCTGAATCATTTGAATAGAGATCACTTGTGGACAATGTGTTAATTATAATGCCTGTTGTTGTACACATTGTGACACAGAAGTGCCACACACCTTGGGCAGCGTCTGGGCTTGGACACTCAAACCTTATCACAGAACCATAAAAGTGTTAAGGTTAGAAAAGACTCTAAGATCATTGTGTCCAACCACTAACCCAGCACCACCATCTTGACCACTAAACCATGACCCCAAGTGCCACATCCACAGGGCTTTTGAATGCTTCCAGGGATAGTGACTCTCCCCCTTCCCTGGGCAGCCCATTCCAGGGCTATACAACTCTTTCAGTGAAGAAATTTTTTCCTCATATCCAATCTAAACCTCTCCTGGTGATTTCTTCTTGTCCTGTTACTTGTTACCTGGGAGAAGAAACTGAACCCCACCTGGCTACAGCCTCCTTTCTTGTAGCTATAAAGAGTGATGAGGTCTTCTCTGAGCCTTATTTTCTCTAGGCTAAATATCCCCAGGTTGCACAGATGCTCCTAATAAGAATTGTGCTCCAGACCCCTGTGACAAACTGACAGCAAAGGGCCATGGGCTGACATGATTCCTTTCAGAAACAGGCCAGCCTTGGCCAGAGGCAGGGCAAGACAAACTGCCTCAGAAAGGTGCAGGCAACATGGAAAGGCAGGCCCCTGGAGCACACAAAATGAAATACCCACATATGAGACTTGACTATCTCAAGAAGGAGGACAATATCTGCTGCATATAAATGCAGAAAATGAGGGCACCCTGACACTCATGGCATAGCCACCAATATGCAGCATTTCTATCCCTTCTTTTTTATCATGTGTAGCTACAGAGCCACAAGGAAGGTACTGACGAGCAGACAAGAAATTCAGCTGCTGGTTCGCTACGCAGGACTTTGGAGGAGCTCGAGGGCAAAAGTGATGCATGGAAATTAAGTTAATTTTAAACCACAGGCAAGAGAAGAGACTTACTAGCAGTTACTTAAGAGAAGCTGCTGACTGTTTAAATACCATTAAGAAGATTAATGTCAGCCCACAGAACGAGGGAAAAATTAGGGCTGAAAGGGACCTTGAAAGGTCAGACCAGTCCATTCCACTAACCCAAGCAAGATCACCTAAACCTCGGACATCCCTGACAGATGTTGCTTAACTTGATCTTAAAGCTCTCCACTCCCTAGGCAGTCTATTCTTTGTTATTCCTGTCATTAGAAAGTTTTTCCTAACATCTAAATTGAGCCTTTCCTGCTGTGACTTAAGCCTTCTTTTTTCTTTTTTTTCTTTTTCTCTCTCCTCTCCTTCATCACAGACAAGGAGCAATGATTATGCCTTTTTATGTGCTTAAAGACTTCAGTTCTCTCCTTTGGGTTAGAGAATTTCAGTTCTTTCAGGCTTCCCTGGTAGGTAATGGTTTCTCCATTTCCGCTTGTTCTCTCTGCACTCTGCTGGGCTGTATCCAATTACCCCACATCTCCCCTTAACTTATTTTCTACCGTCTCAACACCATGACATTCAGCTTTTGATCCTTTTCCTGAAGAATTGCTACTTAACCCATCACTCCCTCCTCTGTACTCTGGGAGTTCATATTGTTGCTCAAGTGTACGACCTTCCACTTCTCCTTATTCAACTGCCTCCTGTTTCTTCCAGATAATTTCCCGAATTTGCCCACATAGTTTTAAACTCTAACCCTGCCCAACACTACATCTATGGTTTTATTTCATGTGTAAAATGGAAGTCCTTATATTCATCCTTTATAACAAAACATTAAAAAAAATAAGCCAAAGTGAACCAGACATAGGGTGAAACCCCACTCAAAGCCAGCTTTAACCTGGACAAGAAAGTGCTGCCAACATTGCCCTGGGTGAGGTTATTCAAGCAGGTTTGTACCAAGTGACTTCAGCCACTCCTCATAAGGCTTCCTCTCCAGATGCTCCACCATCCTCCTTTGGAAATGTTCAAGGCCAGACTGGATAGAGCATGGAGCAACCTGATCGAGTGGAAGGTGTCCCTGTCCATGGCAGAGGGTTGGAATAAGATGTTCTTTAAGGTCCCTTCCAACCCAAGCTGTTCTGTGATTCTACTGGAGAGTGTTTTGCCAGCTGGCTTCAAACACCAAACTACTCTGACAGTCACAAGAAGTTACTGCAGTCAGGCCTCTCCCACCTCTCCCCTCCACCTAAAACCCTTTTGTGTTGCTCTGTCTCTGTCCCAGCTGTCTTTGACCCACAAACCATCACCTTCCCCCTCAGCCTCCCCACTGCTGTCACCCGGGCCCTGTGTGCCAGTAGGACCTTCCCCAGCTTGGGGAAGTGGCACGGGAAGGACAAAATTAAATAAAAATAGGTAAGGACGATAAAATCGGTGTTATTTTAGAGGTAAATCTTTTGTTATTTTTGAGGTAGCCCTATTTTGCCGCCCCGGCTCTGGGCGGCGCGGCCCGCCGCTGCCCCCTGGTGGGCAGGAGGTGTCCCGGCTCAGCCGGGATGAAGACGGACCAAATGTCACTCGGGCACGGGGTACAGAGGTTTTACTGCCACTGTCCCGTCCCCCACCCACCTTCACCTGTCTGTTCTGCAAGTGAGGGCATTTCATCACCCCGTCAGGGTCACAAAGTAGGGAAAGGCAGTGACCCAAACCCATATGACTCCACAACAGATGTGCAAGAGACAGAATCTTTGCTCCACAGGTGAACTCAAGTTTACCTCAATGCCATATGGACACCTTCTCTCCCTGCTGCTTCACCCAGGCTCTGAGTAGCATTTTGGCCTTACACATAACACAAAGCAGGCTGATCTCAGCTCATTTCTGGCTCTCTCTTAACTACCCCACTCAGCAAGCATCTCAGTGTGCTTCATGCCCCTGGCCCCACACTGTGCCCATCGTGCCAGCAAGCGCACCTGTGGCTTGGCTGCCATTCCCTGCAGCCTGCAAGGAGCCCATCTGCCTGATAAGGATGTGCCTCCCAGCAGCACCAGCGACTGGCACATACAAGAGGGGACCTGGGCAGGCAGGCAGCACCCCTCCTAATTGAATGAAGGAAGAAGAACACTTGAACTTGCTCCAAAAGGAAGCTCAAGCTCCAGCTTCTCCACATTCATTTATTTGCAGAGCTTGCCTAAACCTGCAAGGAGGCATCAGCTTGCAGACAGGCAGTTGGAAGGAGGCAGAGTCAGGCCAGTGCAAGGCAGCTGGAGGTATTGACCCTTCTGGCAGTTTGGATGCAGACTTTGGGCTCAGCTTAAACATGTCTTTCTTCCCTTCTCCTCTATCTAGAACTGGCCTTTCCCAGCTATTAGTTTCTTCAGCATGACGCATTCCAGCTACAAGTCCATTCAACACTGTCTATCTGTAAAACTCACCAAGGCAAATTCCATCAGGCCCTTTCGGACAGGCAATTCCTGGGGATAAATAAATCTACTATCCAACATCTCATTTTTTGTTTTAAACACGCATAATAATCTATGGAATATTGCAACAGTCCAGTTTATTCCAAGGCAGAGGCTTAAGGCCAAGACAATGAGCAAGAATCTGTCAAGAACAACTCTCTGCCCTTCAGGTGATGACAGCATCGAAAGGTACTTCTGTGAGATGCACAGAAAGCTGTGGTGCCAAAGCATGACAATGCACAAGAAAGAAAACAAAACAACCTTCCTAATGCAAGTGGACAGAGCAGCTATCACTGCCATTCTACATACATCAAAGCTGTGAGCTTTAAGTGCTATGAGTAATAAGGAAGGAGTGCATGTAAAATGCAGGGTGATGTGATAACATAACTGAGAGCTCCACTTTCTAGGCCTCTCACAAATGGGGGTTTTTGGTTAAAAGTTTCCCCATGCTCAGTACCTAGGATGAAGCCTGCTCAGCAATTAATGCAAAAAGTGCCACAGAACAATGACAGCTGCAGGTGCAAAGAAAGAAATGCTAGAAGCATGATAATACTTCAACATTTATTTTCCTCACGACACAGAAAGAATTACATTTCCAAAACCCACAAAGCTTTAGAATACTTCACAATACAGAAATGCTAACTGTGCTTCCTGCTTAGACAAACCAGCAGGGAGGTCTTTCATTCAGGCCTTTATGTCAGTACGTACATAAATCAGTTTAATTTATTTCAGGTACATAAGAAGTGACAGGATAAATGAATGGTAGAATCATTCCAGTTTGGTTCAAGCCCAGGAAAATCTCCTGAGAGGGATGCTGTGCTGTTGACTGGAAGTCACGTTCAAGAGGTATTGCTCACACCATGTACAAATGTCTGCAGTCAGCCAGTTTGCCATGGTCCCTGTGTAACAGCACAGGGGCTGTGCTAGGCCACGGGGCTCCAAAACAATGGGTACACTGGAGGGGCAGAGAAAAACAAAAGGAGGAAAGCTGACCCTGGTTTCTGTTAGAGGGTATGGTGCTCTTCCATCCTTCTCCCAGGCTGCTAAGCAATTTAGCCAAATGCATAGGTTCAAAAGAGCAATCAGCACCACTTAGGAAGGCTAAAAAGAACCAGAACAGAACAGAAGCTGACAGCTCCTCTCTACTGACAGTATATCAGCCAAAGGGCTAATGGATATCTGTGTCTGGTCCAAGGTTATGGCTGCATCCTCATGCAGTAGGATTTTTTTTTTTTTGCCATTCTACAGGATGACAGTAATGCATTCTGAGGCCTCTCTCAGGCCTCTTCTGCAGCACTTGCATTACAACACAGACCAAACCACTGCCTGCCCCATGCAGTTAACTTCAGTAATGAACACTACTCCTGATTTTTGGCAGCTGAAGTATCAGCATTAGAACTAGAAACTATTGTGTCTTTATTCTGGCTACATTAAAGAATGGTTTCATGGGAAGAAAAAGAAGGTACCAGTCTGCCAAGTAGAAAATTTAACTGCTTTGGAAAGAAGAGAACATAAATATTTTCAGTCCTGTATATTGCACTTATATGAATGTTGTCTTTATCATCCAGAACTGTCAAAAACTCTTTTTGGAATAATTAATTTTCAAGGGACAAAAAGGAAAGGGTCTGTATGTACATCGAGGGACTGAGAAACCATTTGTGGCATCACTGTTCAGTCAGATGCACCTGAGCCACAATTAGAGTATTTCATGTCTAGGTAGAAGGGGGTTACTCCTGGGTTGTAGTGACAGACCTTCAGCTGTGGGGGATAGAACATGATGGGGTCTGGAAATTCTCGTACTATGAAGCTATTGCCAGGAGCCTTCTATGTTTGGGCCGATACAGACACTTCTAAATCCATGGCACAAACCTGACAGTTAAAACAGAAAATGCATTTCGGAGCACTTACGCTTCCTCCCTTTGGGTCATCTAAAATCCACAACACTTCCAGAGAACTGTGGACTAGTTAGACTAGTGGTTAAAACCAGCCATTCAACAGAGCATTCAGCTGACCAGCCCAATATTACATACTGCTGTCTGCATGTTTGTAGCTTTGCATAAGTAAATGGTGACATCTTTCCAGGTAAAAATAGAACAACCCTGTCCCACCTTACCCAAAATACTGCTGCTGCTCCATTTCACGTAGCAACTTGCAGCTCTTCTGTTCCTGAGTAGCTGGATCCTCCCCTCCAGACAGTCTCAAAAATTTTAGGAATTGAAGTGGGAGATGTACACATGTTCTGAAGGGCATGGACATCTAGAATCACAACACAAGTCATCTGAGTTCTCAGGGAAACACATCCTTCTTATCAGGACAAGTTGTATGCCATGCAATTGATTTCTTAGAGCGCTTAAAAGGTAGACATTAATGCAGTGAACTTTCTGACCTGTCTATAAATAGAGCCCAGTGTAATCCCAACCACTTTACACAGGATGAAAAAAAAAAAAGAACTAGAGTTGTTTTATCGGAGTATGACAAGAGATATCTGTGTCACCCTGGCTACTTTTACACATCATACTATTCCCTCTTCTATTTTCTTAGAAAGCCAGAAGGTAGATTTGAGGTATCAGTGGGATGAAGGAAAGCTTCTTATTACCAGGTGAGGAGGAGGGAAAGCGGAAAATGTAAAAATCCCATATGCTGTTGTAAAGACTAGACTTGCCTTAATGCAGCAGTCACAGCAGACAACCCTGAAAGACAAAAGAGTCCAGCATTATCATTTGAGTAAAGCCCAGCAGCTACCAATATTACAGCTACAAAGTAGCTCATTCCAAAGTAGGTCTGAATCCATGATTGTGGCAGAATCACTTGATGGCAAAATGAACAAGCTGAGAACTCCACTATTCAGTTTGCCAGCTTTCCAATTTCTGGCAGTTTAAATCATCTGAAATATATTAACATCCATAGCTTCAAGGCTTTATCTACAAATGCTCCTCACACTTCACCCAGCACTACCACCAGACAGTTGCTCAATTTCCACCGGTTGCTTACTTGCTGCTTATAATCAATTCAGTGCTTCACAACTGCTTCAAATAGATTTAAGTGAGCCTTAATGAGCCTGAAGTTCCTCTCTCACTCTCTCATGAACAGAAAGCCTCTGACAAATAAGTGGATACAAGTAGGCTCAACTCCTTTCCCAGTCACAAGGTCTGGAGTTCTCTTTTTCAGTCCTTAATGGAAGATTCTGGTGTAGACCCTCTCTCAGAACCTGTTCAAGCCCTGGGCTGAGCAGGTTAGAGCAAACCTTTAGAGCAAAATGCAGAAAGTGATCTCAGAGAAACTAATTTAATACTGGCACAGTAAATTCGGCTATTGCTGACTTAACACTAAGAGTTAAAACTGAGATGCTACTTCAGAGACAAGATTTTCCACATCCTCCCCAGCTGTAGACACTTCAGCCTGGCTTGTGCAGTAAGGCAAAGCAGAAGAGCTCAGCAACCTGGTCCTATCCAGTAGTACAGCCAATGAATACTGAGAATTCTCAGCACTGTTTCATTTTTTTCTCCCTCCTCATTCAGTCCTTTTGTACCAGCTCACCTGCTGCAGAGGTAACATCTGTAAGGCCACTTAAGAAACATCTGCTTATGGCAGCTGAAACAGATCTGTGGAAAGGAAAGTTATTTGTGAATGCAAATGGAAAACATCTTTGTACCAACAGTATCCACTGCCTGCCAAAAAGCAAGCACATAAACAAACCTTCTAAAGGCTTTAGATTCATATACAGTAACAGAGGTCCAGTAAAGGATCGCAAAGATACAGGAATGAAAAGCTAAAAAGGCAAAAAATTCTTACTTGCAGGCCAGTGTTTTTATAATGCAGAGGTTTGGGGCAGCTGCCAGACAACAGGAGTTTAAAAAAAGGCTCTTGAGCAACAATAGCTGTATTGTGCAAGAATGTAACAGTAGCTATTTAAGAGAGAAAGAAGAGAGACATTCTTTGAGGTAGACTGCAGCAATCCCAAAGAGATTAAATCAGGGCAAATTTGAATTCAATCCTGAAGCAAAAAATTAGTCATAAGGAAGCTGATGAGTCGCTTGAACTTTATAAAAAAAGAGCACATTCATACACAGCTGGCAGTCAGAAGCGATATTATCTTGAGAAGTAGAACTTGAGAAAGCTAAAAAAACAGCAGTGGGTAAGTAAGCCATTTTAGAATAGTCATAGAGCAGGCAAGTTAAAGCAGGGTCAGTAAGGTGAGAAGAAAACAAGGATTCAGTCTCAGGAGCATCAGACAGCTTGTGGAAGTAGCATGGCTCTGCTAGTAGAACCTTTGACTCTGTCCATACTGCTAAATAAATGAGGGCAAAAAAGTGACCCAAAAGCCAAGAAGCACAGACTTCCTCACATCTGTGTTGCAAAGGGCCTGTACTCAGGACATCTGCTCTGGAGGAGTGGTTACCACACTCCCTCTAAAGGATACTCAGAGATAAGGCAGAAGTTGATAAATGTGAACAACCAATAGCCCTGAGCTACACAGCTCCTTCCCTGTCCCCCTTATTTCCCCCACCTTTGTGTCCACTTGGCAAGGTGGTTTGAGTCGGTACAACTCTGGTGTGGGAGCCTGAGTCAAGCACCTTTGTTTCACTGTTTAGGAATACCAAATCCCAGCTATTTACTTTGGGATTTCAGAACTGATCAGTGGTCAGGGCAGTCAGCTCTCCTTGCATGGAATCATACAAGAAGCAAAAAGCAAAGGCTGGGCTACTTTCTAGGCAATTTATACAGCTTCAGCTAGATTAGAAGCCATCACTGCACAAATACTAAAAAAATTTTCCAGCCCAGGGCCAAACTCAGATCATCTGTTATGAACAGGATAAACTGAGGCAGAGGGTGCCTCTGCAGTTCAGTACAGCAGGTCATGAAACCAGCCAGCTTTTGAAAAGGCAAGGGCAGCACAAAGAGAAGGAGGAGAAACATACCTTTGCTCTTGGAAAGTCGCCATCACTACCTCCTTGGAATAGGCCTTGCCCTTTGAGCACCATCATTGCATATCTGGTTCCAATCAGCTCAGCAATGGTTGGTGATGGGCACTTGATAGGAAAGGGACAGTCCTATTGAAAGACAGAAGTTAAACATCAGATTAAGCTGAAGAAAGCAGCTATTTGGGGGGGGGTCATCTCAAAACTGGGTCCCAAAGGATCAGGAGCATTTTTGTCCAAAACCTCATTTTGCTTGTGATGGGGAGCATCAGGTGACTCTGACAATAGCAGCAGAGAAACTACTACAGGCAGGTGAGTGGTTGCTACAGTTTTCAAGCAGATTCCTTTGAGACATTTTACCCTTTGGAATGGGCCACAGAAAGATGCCACCCTGGCCTCTCCTGGATACAAAATTCCTTTCCACAACACAACACTCTCTTGCCCTTCTCTTTCCCGAAACCTACCGGCCCCATACAAATGGAAACTGTGGTCTCATGGTCAGCCAGGAGAGACAGCTGTGCTTTAGTCCCCAACACACCTGCATCCCCCACCACATTGCTGAACAAAGAGGCATCAGAGAGGTCAGTTAGAGACTTGCCAAGGTGGGGCAAGGAGGGATGCAGAAGGAAAGAAAGAGACAAGGGTACAACACACCTTGTCAGGGCAGAACAGGTTGAGGCTGTAATTCAGAAGGTTGCATAGAAGCACACAGACCCCAGTATTTCTCCCAGAACCATCAGTCACACCCCAATAACTTCAGTTCTACATATATTATACATTTAAAAGTGACTAATACTGTGCTATTCACATTTTGTTAACTACTTATTGCCCCTTACTGCAGCTTAAAAGATACTTATGAGCATATCAGAATCTAGAGACAAGGAATGGACATGAAGAAAGCAGGATAGCTCCACTCTCAATTACAGTCTGCTTGAGGAAGCCTTGATGGACACTTTCAAGTAATGTCATGGTATTTCCCTCTTCTTGTATGAGAAACAACTTTATTTAATGTCATTAAAAGGGAGAAGCCACCACAAGGACACTACAGCATCCAGTCTTCTCTAAAGACATCTACAAGGAGAGAATAACATACCAACTTCAGATAGGTGTACCATATGTCCCAAGACAAAAACCACATGCTTACTGTTTAGAGCATGCTTACTGCTTTCATGAGGATCAAGGTGCAAGTCATTACCAGATGTATCAGACTAGGGCTGCTTGCTGACATGTTGGACTTACAAGCTCCTTGCTTTGAAGGCCTCTCTCTAAAGATTTGGACCTTCCTCTGTAAGGAGGTAGCTGCTGTTGGCCAGTGCTCAAGAAACACTTAGGCTTAATGTCTCCTGGTGTGGGTGCACTCATGGGAGGAAATGTGCAATTTGCAGCAAGACCTGGATAGGAAGAGAGAGTTTTAGGGTGCAGAAAACCCACTGTCAGTTTCTAAGTATTCACCCTGAGGGCTGGATACTCAAAAGCACAACACTGCTTTCTGAAGGTAGCAAGGCTTACATCTCTCCCCCTCCAACCTATCTGCTCAGATCACATAAAAAGCAGAGGTTACAGTAACTATGCTTGTCAGTAGGCACTGATGAGGCTTCATTAGCACTATTTAGTTTCATAAAATGAAGTGCTGCACTTTCTACTTGAATATTCAAACCACTCATTTAGCTTTTACTGCAAATTCCAAGTCAGGCCTTTGGGGACATGTAATCATTGTTTTGAAGCTGCAGGAGCTACACAAGCTTCAGTCAACTGCAGAGAAATTATTTTCTAAGGGCACCTCCCCAGACTCTTTATTTAGTATTGGAATTTCTCCTGCAAAGTATCTCCAGGTGATTAAAGAAGTGTACATTGAACCCAGCCCAAGGGTTTGGGAGCCCATCAGGCCACTAGCTGTACTCTGTCATCTGGTTTAGATGGGCAGCCAGAAGTGCACTGACCTGTGCTGATGCAGGACACTCCTGATGGCCTGGTGGAGGAAAGGCAGGTGCTGGCAGGCAGCTTGGGAGTGTTTTCCTGTAGACCAGAAGACAGGATGTTCATAATCTGAATATAAGAGACACCAAGGCCACTTCATCAGAAGTACTGCTGCCTAACAAAACTCAGGATACCCACAACTGATCAGAAATGTTCAAGGCTCAGCCAGAAGCGGAGCAGAGTGAAAAATCAGTGGGGTACATTTAGAAACTTTGTTTCTTCTTGGAATATAAAGATAATTCCCCCTGCACTCCACAGCTAGGAAATTTCAGCCAAGCTAGTGAAGTTTCCAACCCACCTGTTCTCTCTCTTGCCCAACTCCAATAGTGGATACTAGTACTAAAGGGGCATCTGCTCAGGAACCAACTTTGCATAATCATCCCCACACAACCTATGGAATACATTGGAACCATTTTCTTGGCTCCAGCTCATACATGGCAACAGTGGAGCACAGTTCACGAGACTGACTAACCCAACTCATTAATTCAACTTAAACTCAATGGTTTATCTCAACAGCATTGTTTCTACCTTGTCTAGAAAAGCAAAAAGCAAATTTGATTATATTAGTCTCCATATAAAAGTTTTTCCAGTTCAGCAGTAATACCTCAACCACAATTCTGAACATTCCTCCAAGTAGCTCAGACTGGGCAAATATATCTAAGATTCTAAGATTTCCTGCTTTTGTAATTCATATGTGTTTTCCTCAGACAACTGCATTTCACACAGAAATATTTACAGAAAACAGATTCCTGTTTGTATGTCAGAGCATCTGTGCTAGACATGATGTGTTAGGGCTTAAGTTCTGTTCCACAGAAATTTGGAATATGCTCAGCCTGAATCCCAGAACCAAGCAGTCAAACTTTTCATGACAGAGCCAGGAGTTAAAGAACCAAAAATCTGTGTATTGTGGTTTACTGAAGAACAGTGCTATGTTATAACTCCATAGACAGGTGGGAATTCACCCATCAAGTTCCTTCCTCAAAATATATCACAAAGTTTTCCTTCCATGAGCTCACTTACTACATGAAATCAAAATACATCAATTCATCTAGCATCAAATGCCTCACTTTGAAATACGAGTGGGAATATTCTGGCCCACATTGGCCAGACTCCTATGCTATTATAACTTCTCCAGGATCTAGTTTTAAAAGGCCAGAGCAGATTTCAGTTCTGTAGAATCATAGAATATCCTAAGTTGGGACACACAAGGATCACCAAAAGTTCAACACCTGCCCCTGCACAGGACCACCCCAAGAGTCACACCATGTGCCTGAGAGCATTGTCATCCAAGAGGGCACTGGGCCCTGCACATGAGACAACCTTGTGGACTATGCATAATGGAATACTTTAGCAACTCCCAAATTTGAAGTCAAGAACTCCAGGAGCTCTTTCAAGACCAAAAAAATTGTTACAAATTAAAGAAGCAGTGGAGGAAGTAGGAAGATTGAACATCTTTCTTGTACAAAGATGTCAACTCTTGTTTTTCTAGTACCATGTTTGGCAGGAGGGTCAATTCAAAAGTTAAGTATGGTTAAGATAACCCCCTCCCCCCTCTCCCAAATACAAATCAGTAGCTAAAGTATTAGCTTTATATTGTTTCAAAATGTCCTGTTACCTCCAGAATTACCTTGTTTTGCTATGATCAGATGCAACACCAGGTCACCTACCGGCTCTAGATGAGGCTTGAGAGTAGCTACATCAGCTCTGAGGGCCCTGTGCTTTTGCTTGATGGTCACCTGAAAGAGCAGAAGCAATGCTTAAGAAATAGCTCTTTTTCTCCTTATACACTTTGCCATTCAGTGGCACAGTGAATGATACAAGTCAGGATTTGGGAACAGGGGAGATGGGGAAGGCACTGAAAAACAAAACAAGCCCGAAACAACAACAACAAAAAAACCTTAAAAAACCAAACAAAACCATAAACACCAAACAAACACAAACCCCCTGCAAAACAAATAAACAACCCCCCAAAACAAAACAAGGAGTTGAGAAGTGTGGATGTTTCCTTGTGCTTGGGAGCCCTGCCAGCTGCAAACATCCCCCCAAAAAACCCCAAAGCCAGGGACCCCCCGGGATCTTTGGGCCGAGCTCCCCCTCCCCGGGCACCTGCGGGATGGGGGGCGATGCTCCCGGGGCTGCGGCGGCTTCAGGGAGCGCCAGGGCCACCAGATTCTCCCTCTGCTCTTCTGCTGCTGCTGCTGCTGCTGCTGCTCGGCCTCTCCCAAATACAAATCAGTAGCTAAAGTATTAGCTTTATATTGTTTCAAAATGTCCTGTTACCTCCAGAATTACCTTGTTTTGCTATGATCAGATGCAACACCAGGTCACCTACCGGCTCTAGATGAGGCTTGAGAGTAGCTACATCAGCTCTGAGGGCCCTGTGCTTTTGCTTGATGGTCACCTGAAAGAGCAGAAGCAATGCTTAAGAAATAGCTCTTTTTCTCCTTATACACTTTGCCATTCAGTGGCACAGTGAATGATACAAGTCAGGATTTGGGAACAGGGGAGATGGGGAAGGCACTGAAAAACAAAACAAGCCCGAAACAACAACAACAAAAAAACCTTAAAAAACCAAACAAAACACCAAACAAACACGAACCCCCTGCAAAACAAATAAACAACCCCCCAAAACAAAACAAGGAGTTGAGAAGTGTGGATGTTTCCTTGTATGGGGTTTTGGGAAAGATTTGGCTGCAGCAAACCAGAGGCAATCAGAAGTACTGCACAGCCCTTAGAGGCTGGCACAAGGAGCACAAAGCCTTTTACCCTGAACTGCTCTGAGAAGCAGCTAGAAAACACTGCATTCAGACATTAATGTCAGGAGTGATCCCAACAAGCACCATAGTCACATCATATTCATCAGTAAAAGCTCAGCTCCAGGGAGGAGAGCAATTGAAGGGGTTAACAAGACTGTTACAGCAACTGCAGCAGCAGGCAGCTGTATGCCTAAGCCAGAGTCCTAGAGACTGGCTTCCAGCCCGACATAAACTAGGAACAATAGCAAGATAGAATTCCAGGGCAGATATTCATGTGAAGCATCAAGCCCAGTGCTTACTGCATAGGGGAGAACTAACAAAAAAAGTCATGCATGCCTTTAGCTGCCTTGTTCACTTATTCGTATTTTGAGGCTATGCCATTTTCTTTCACTTGTGTGTACAACTTCAGAACACGTGGGAGTGCAGGTAGAACAACACTACGGCTCCCCACACTAGGCGTGCTTTCATTCATTTGCAAATCAGACCACTGTTTGCTAGAGAAGCTTTAAAATAGCTTTGCAGATGGGGAAATCCTCGTTTAAGAGCCTTCACAAAGACCTGAGCAGTAGCACTCTGCTTTCTTTCAGTATTTCTGACTACTACTCTTCAAACATGTTTGTGCTTCTCGTGAATAAAAAAAAAAAGTTACTAAAAAGAAGAAAGGGAAAGAAAAGTAAAAGAAAAAAGAAAGAAAATCACTGCCCAGATCATCCTGCCACCTTGAGTTAAGGTTCTGTACTGCACACTACATTGATACATAGTAAATTGCAAAGAATACAAGCCAGTTATGATGCACTGTCTCCTTACCAATACTATTAATTTACATATACATCAAGATACCATTTGCAAACACATGACGTAGTATTACCCAGAAGCTGGAGCCACAATCAAGCCAAGCAAGAGCTGGGATTTTATAGAGGTGCATGGTTTAGCTGAAGCTTTTAATCCTGCTACACTCTAGCAGCACCAACAAAGAGGAAAAAAAAGCTGATGTCTAGTGCAGTATGCAAAGTTTTCACTTTTTGTAATACTGCTCTTTATTACAAGAGGACTTGTGTCTCATCTTCTGCCAAGATGTCTGTTTGCAAAGCACATCAATGCCACAAGGCCTTGTGCCAATGTTTTAGATCTGCTCATCATTCCCAGCTCAAGCTGCAGCAAGTAAAGAGCATCACAAGCCTTTAGAGACACCCTAGACGTTTTTGTATCTGGTCATCTTCACCAACCAAGTGGTGAAGGTGGAAGTCTCTGCTCCTCCCTGTGAGGGGCTCAACATTTTTTACCCTGACTAAATTCCTGCAGTAGCTGAGTGCACTGCCCAGAGGCCTCTGCTTTTGGCTAAGCAGAGAGCTGTCTCAGAAGTGCATCTGCACTTCCATACACACCACAGCATCTGGGAAGGTAAAGCAACAAGTAAAAGATTCCAGGTGCAGCACAGCTAAAGGAGCCTGGAAGGACACAAGTGTCCAAGGTGGAAAGCACAAGGAAGCAAGAGTGTGTTCCATGAAACTATTGTTTGCAGGGCAGAATAACTGCTGCAGGGAAGTGAGTGGTTGACTCTGGAGGGAGAAGATGTTTACTGTTCTGATTCATGAAACTGTGGCTACTCCTGTCTTAAAAAGTTACTGGAAATTAAGTACTTGGGGGGACAAACAGGGTGATCTAATGCTGAACTGCAGCTGAGAGGGAGCCCCAGACACTTCTGGACTTCGATGTACCTTTTTTTAAAAAGGCACACCTTTGGAGAAGAGGTCTCAACACATACTGCTCAGAAATGAAGAAGAATGGATGTTTCCAAAGCTGTGTGCTGACTCCAGTCACTCACCTTACGCAGGGTGTACCTCTTGTGCTGAACGTCATCCAAAAGCAGCTCATAGGGAGAGCGAATACGTTCCTTTGAAGACACACGCCATGGTCGCTCGGCAGCCTTGTGCAGCCTCACACCAGCCTGCAGCTCACATATGACACTGGGCCACACAGCAAGGGCTGATGCTGGCTGTTCATATACAGGCCAAGTCAGTAGCTGGCTAGAACTCACAGAGCAGCATCCCCTCCCTCCGTGTAACAGGGCACACTTAACAGCTGAAGTCATTCAGAAACACAGAATTGTGTCCTTAACATGCCCTTCTACTCACTTCCAGATCAGGGTGCCGTACCAAAGCAGAGAACTGCTTTTATTTACAGAAGTTAATTTACAACAAGGAAACTTGTCGCTGGCTCAACAGGCTCATTCCCAAAATTTGTCATTAACTTTATGGATGTACTTCAGCAAAATACAGCTTTTGCTGCCAGGTAAATAAATAGACCCATTTTCTTTCTGCAAGTGCTCCAGATGTCAGAGTGTTATCATATTACTGGCTCCTAGGAAACACTGGGAATGAAATCCCAAATAATACCACTAAAATCCTCCATATTTTCAGAAAACCAAGGGTTGAAGTGTCCAGAAACAAAAGAGAAAGACAAGTAAGCAAGGGATCTCATACTTAACAGCAGCATAGGTTAGCAGTCTCAGCCTAGAGACACAAGCTAAAAACCCTGACATCTGCTCATCCTGTTTCTGTACTAGTATCCAAGGATGCTCAGGCATGCAGTATAACCCAACAAAAGCTAAAGACAGGAAAAAAAAAGGTAATCAACTCAATAGCATGTTTAGACAACATTGGAATGGAAGCGCTAAATCAACAGCTAATCTGGATCCCAGTAGCAAACTGAGTAAGAACAAGTCATTGTATTATAAACAGTGAGAGGGAAGCAAAACATTTTAGAAAACTGCCTCAGAACAAAGTATCTGACTTAGGCTTCTCTCTGTTTTCTACTTCGAGCATGAAGCATCTTCTCTCTACTTATCCCTTCGGTTATCTTGGTATAATTATAGAAGAGTCTTATGCGAGCTCTGGCTGCCCTCAAGAATACAGATATTTTTGTCGGATTGTTCTGGCCTGGATTTGGTAGTCATACCTGAACTCCTAGAACTCACAGAGCAGCATCCCCTCCCTCCATGTAACAGGGCACACTTAACAGCTGAAGTCATTCAGAAACACAGAATTGTGTCCTTAACATGCCCTTCTACTCACTTCCAGATCAGGGTGCAGTACCAAAGCAGAGAACTGCTTTTATTTGCATAAGTTAATTTACAACAAGGAAACTTGTCGCTGGCTCAACAGGCTCATTCCCAAAATTTGTCATTAACTTTATGGATGTACTTCAGCAAAATACAGCTTTTGCTGCCAGGTAAAATAGACCCATTTTCTTTCTGCAAGTGCTCCAGGTGTCAGAGTGTTATCATATTACTGGCTCCTAGGAAACACTGGGAATGAAATCCCAAATAATACCACTAAAATCCTCCATATTTTCAGAAAACCAAGGGTTGAAGTGTCCAGAAACAAAAGAGAAAGACAAGTAAGCAAGGGATCTCATACTTAACAGCAGCATAGGTTAGCAGTCTCAGCCTAGAGACACAAGCTAAAAACCCTGACATCTGCTCATCCTGTTTCCGTACTAGTATCCAAGGATGCTCAGGCATGCAGTATAACCCAACAAAAGCTAAAGACAGGAAAAAAAAAGGTAATCAACTCAATAGCATGTTTAGACAACATTGGAATGGAAGCGCTAAATCAACAGCTAATCTGGATCCCAGTAGCAAACTGAGTAAGAACAAGTCATTGTATTATAAACAGTGAAAGGGAAGCAAAACATTTTAGAAAACTGCCTCAGAACAAAGTATCTGACTTAGGCTTCTCTCTGTTTTCTACTTCGAGCATGAAGCATCTTCTCTCTACTTATCCCTTCGGTTATCTTGGTATAATTATAGAAGAGTCTTATGCGAGCTCTGACTGATGGCTGCCCTCAAGAATACAGATATTTTTGTTGGATTGTTCTGGCCTGGATTTGGTAGTCATACCTGAACTCCAGAAAACTAGAACACTCGAAGGATGACCAAACACTTGCCATATCTCCTAGGCTACATTTAATACTGTGTGGGAGAACATACAAAAGTGTCTGGGCAAACTCATCAGTACTAGAGACTTTTGAAATAGCTTACTCCAAGACATTTGCACTTTATAGAGTTGTATTTCACATGGTGACTGAATTTGACTGAGAGACATGACCTGACTCAGAGCGACTTCTGTACTGTAATACTGCCACATTAGTTTGGGGACAAGAATTGCCTTCAGCTGACCATTTCAGAGCAACTTACACACTCAAAACATTTTTCAGATGTTGGTGACATCATTATCACTCATACTTTTATTTCCCTACTGACTGGATCACTGCAATTACTCTATTTTTGCCATCTGATGTATTGTCAAAAGCCACCTAAACTTTCCACAACCTATGAAGTACAACACTATAAACCTATTGCCTTGAGTTCAAACAGGTGAGTGCTAAGACAGCTGTGTTTCTAACAGGTCTCACTGCTTACATTTCAAGGTGAACATCAACCTGGGACATGTAAGCTGTGCTGAAACTGTACAACACTGCACACTCTCATACTGTGGTCTGCATTTCAGAAGATCTGTTTTGTATCAGTCATCATGAAAAAGTGTGGTCCATAGAGCACATTACCTGCTTAGCACCACTCAAGACATCAGCTCTAACCAGAGGGACCCCAGAGAAGCTGGCAGCCTGGTTATTTTAAACTCAAGAGATTGTCAGAGCAGTACAATCAGCTGGTGCTTAGGGACTGGGAAACTAGGAGTAGAGGATTCACAACAGACATCCAGCTTTTGGAATTCATGCCTCCTGAAGGAGCAGAGGCCAAACACACTGGCCTTCAGGCCACATGGCAAAGCCCATGTATTTATTCATGCATTCCCTGCAGAAAAGAGCTACAGCAGTTGATGAGTTTGTGGTTTGAGGTAGCTTGCCAGTTTATTTTAATAGATCACAAAATTGAGAATATGCCCAAACACACATTTCACAAACATTTTCATACAAATAGTTTGAGCACGCTTCAAAGCAAGTGCTATTTAGACAAAGAGAGTGAGTCCACAAGTCTCTCAGGGCTTGCTGTTTGTCTCCACAGACTCCAGACTACAGAGCATTTGTTTACACTGGGCAGAGCTCCAGCCTGAAGAGCTATTTGTTTCTGATTGAGCCCTGACTGTGTAGGCCCTTGAAAAAAGCACAGTAAGTTGCCTTCCCTGCTCCAAACACACAGTCCAACATCTATGGAAGCACAAAAGGCAAAGACAAGAAAGGTAGTGCACAGAAGGTAGGAGTGACATCTCCTCAACCTCTTTCACTCCTTTATTTGAGCTGCTGGAGCTGCATATCCACAAAGATGGACAGTGCTACTGGCCTTCAGTTCCTGCCAGTCCTGACCCACAGAGATACCACATAATAAGAGTGAACTAGTCCACCCCAGGACTACCAACAACAACAGAAGAGTTTTCTGTGAGTTTTCAGTCCAGCTATGAGAAAGGAACAGATTGCTTTTGGCAGGTGTCAATTCCTGCCAAGAGAATTTGGGGCTCATTTGTGGGAAGAAACAGCCTGCATAACTACTTGTGGGCATTTACTCCAAAGACTGCCTCCACCTTCATTTTTAGAAGTGGTTTAAGTTGTACCACAAAGACAATCTTTGGGTAGAATAAAAGCCCATGTGAGGTTGACATATGAAATAGTTTAACTTCAAGTTCACTACCCAGCTTGTTTTACGAACAAGTCTTTAACTCCTCAAGCTACTGAACAACCTAAGTAGTTCAATTTGTGTTCATGTTCTATTTTTCATAGAAGAATCAATGGAAAGCCTCAGAGAGCCAACACTGACCAAAAAACCCCAGTCCCCACAATGAAAAAAATAAGTATCTTACACCATGGATTTTCTTCTTTTTAATGGGATTTTCTACGCAATCTTCCACATCCATTTTTCTCAGTCTCTGAGAAAGGCAAGCATATGAGGTCATCACTCTACACTCTTCAGTGATTTCCTATCTATCTAGCACAAATTACTAATGTGTATCTGAAAAGCCAAGAAACTCCAAACACTTAAACTTTCAAATGCTACAATAAATAAAAATGGTTCAGAGACAGCAACTATCCACATTGTGAAAGCAGAACTTCATCCAGGTGCTCCATTTCTAGTGCAATGAGAAGGTTACTTTAAAACTTGATGAGTGTGTGAAGGTAGAGGGAATAGCATCTAATGGGTAATCCTAAACATACTTCTTTGGAGGTCTGGATGATGGTCATAAGCTTCTGTAGTTCCATATATTCAGCAAACAGATTCTTACAGGTCATTTCATAATGGCTGGTAGCCTCAGAAGGCCTGGACAAGTGCTCCTCACAGGCCTGAAAGAAGTGCAGCTATTTAAAAAACATGTTGAAGTTTTAAAAAAAACCAACATAGTAGGATGGAATAAAGCAAGATTCTGCTTCCTCAATCCATGGTTAAAAATCATCTTCTTCACTCCCTCTTTTTTTTTTTCTATCGCAGATACAGAGGAACAAAGAAGGAAGATATTAAATCTTTTATGTACAATAATGGAAGTAGCTGTGTAATTTGTTTATCTTGTTTTCCTTAAGATGCGCTTTGAAATAAAAAGCATCCCCTGAAAGGTGAAACCTCCAGTTCAAAGCACAACTCACAGCAGATGGAGTCACTTGCCCTGTTCTTTTTCCCTGTCCTGATCAGACAGAGGGATGGGAAGTTTCTCATACCTTTAAATTATGGCTGAGAGAAAAATATCTGTTTGAGTTTAGACATTCAAATCCCAGCCTTTGCAGAAGCCAAATACTATGGAAAGGGAGTTTTTCAATATCTATAGTGTTCTAGGTATTGAATTTGGAGACTATGTACAGAAGGACTTTGTAGACACAGCTGCGGGAGAGCTGTACTGTCTTCCTTTTAAATTATTTTCCATGGGCACTTACAAACATCTTAAATGGTTTTGCCTTTTCCCTCTGATGGGAAAGCCAATGTTCCCTCTCTGTCCTCCAACAGCCCACCCAGCTTTTTCCCAGAAATGGTCTTGCCTCTTGGTCAACAGCACTGTTCCATCAACTCCTCTAAAGCTGCTATATTTACTAAGGGGGAAGAAGGAAACCTTGATAACATCCTGCATGGTGACTGGTGGTTTTGTTGCCTTGTCATCCAGTTTCAACATGAGCCGCAGCAGTTTCTCCAAAGGATCACTCAGTTCTCGCTCCACTTGGCTGTTGATTCCCCAGTCTAGGCCTTCATAGATCACCCCTCCCAAGTACTCCAACAGCTGCAGACAGAGACCAAGGAAGTAACACAGCACAAAGTGTTGTGGAGAACATCACAGCTCTTATTTGCCAGCCATGTGTGCATACTCCTCTGCTCCTGAGGATTGAACACATCTCTCAGGATGAGAAACACCCCCATTTAAGCTGGTTTAAAGTTTTTAAATGGCCTTAACTGGCACCTCTAGGATATAAGTCATTAGGACAATACTGTGGTGTATGCCACAGTAGGCAGCATGTGTACATATTGTTTCCCAGTCCCATTGTCTTACTTGAGTTCAGTCCAAGCATTCTGTTTCCTTTTCCAGGTTGCAGGGGAGTCACTCTCACAGGCCACAGCAAATTCAAACACCTTGATAATTTCCTAAGACATCCTGCATCTCCTGAGCAGGCCTTCTACAGGAGTGTATGTGCACACACAATGAAGGTAAAGACACAGGCTTACCTTGTCCTCTGACTGCTGAATGCTGCCGACATCTGACAGGGAAAAACAAGGATCAGGGGAGAAAAACAGCTGTACAGACATTGATAAACAGCTTTTAGAACCCTTTTCAAGAGAGGGGAGCAGGAAGCATTGTTTGCAATAAGGTAACTAACTCCTCTGACTAAAGTCAGTCCTACCTGGGGAAAGTAGGCCGGTATTTGGGGAGCCCTGGAAAACACCATGGGAGACTCATGTTATTGTGAGCATTAGCCCAAAGTAACAGCTACTGCATTTTGTTGTTTGCTAATTGATATCCAACCCCCAGGGGAGGCACAGGATCTTTATTCTTTACTACCCACTCCAGTCTCTGAAGAGTTAGCCTAGCACTGACCTCTGCTGCAGTCCAGCCCAGCCCTACATAACACAGAGTTATTACCACTTGCTGGGCAACACATAGTGACCAAAAAAAGGGAAAGTACCAATTATAAATCCGCTGTGAGAGCTACCGTAACAAAGGAATCATACACTGGAAGATGAACAGAACAGTACATATAACAAAGCCTCAGACTATTTATTTCAAATAACATAAGTGGTAGAAGGCTTTCATCACAGCTATTCCCTAGAACCAACTGACTCAATAGAGCACAATTAGATAATTTAGTAGGTCATACACCTGTATTATCACTCATCTACAGTCTTCTGAAATTAAGTATATGCAGGAGAATAGCTTAATGACACATGTACACAGCAAAGAGAGGGGGAAAGAAAAACATAAAAAGCAGGGGAAAAGAAACTTCCTCTACTTTGTCCTCACATTTCAGCCTGTTATGGAAGAAAACACTTGGCATCTGCAAGTACCTATGCTCTTACCAGACTTGTAGAGGTTGAAGGAAGCAGTACCATCAGCATGGATAAAGATGCTCTCAGAATCCTTTATGAACACAGAACAGAGTGGTGGGCTGTGGGCCAACTGCTCTATTTTTCTGCAACACTGAAAGCAGATAGCCCAGGCTTGCTCCTCACTTAAAGGATGCTCAAAACACCTCAGAAGCTCAGCTAGAGAGACCTTTGCAATCTTCTGCTCACACCCTGAAGGCTCCATTTTTCCTTTCACTTCTAACCTCCACTTTTAGCCTAGGGAGCTTAGAACTTCCTTTCCCAGGCTGGACAAGTCTTCACAGCAGCTTTTTATCGGTTCTAGCTCTTGATTTGCTCTTATCTCTCTTCCCTACAGGTGCAACCATTAGTGCCAACTTTTTGCTCTGTCTTTTTAAAGGCACATGACTTTTTCTGTACTTGTATGAGATTTCTTAAAACGGAGTAAGTGTATAACAAAATGGAATCAAGAGAAAGTAAGAGTGTACAAAAATTGTGCTCAATTTATCTCCCTTGTTTCTCACAAATATATTAATTGCAGCAATGTTTGCAAGCAGAAGAAGAGTATATTCAACTTCAGGCAGGGAGGGAAAGAGGCAGGAAATGTCTTGTACTTGAGGGAGGAAAACTCAGAACACTACAAAACTAATTTTCATAGGAAACTATTTCAACAGCACTTATGAATTACAGCAGTCAACTCCATGGGGCACCTGCAGTGGCCCCCCTCCCATAGCAAATTGCAACAGTAGGAGCTGTGACCATGGAGCATCGGGATGACCAGGAAGGTACCTGGGGCATGGGCAGCAAGGCCCTTCCTTGCCCAGAGCATGGATATCCCAGAATCACAGGATCAATTGCGTGGGAAAAGATCTCTGAGATCATTGAGTCCCCAGCCTGAGACGGAACACCGGTGTCAGCTGCACCGTGGCACGGAGGGCCACATCCGCTCTTTCCTTAAACACCCCAAGGACGTGACTCCATTACCTCTCTGGGCAGTCTGTTCCAATGTCTGATCACCCTTTCTGAACAAATGAATAAATTCTTCATAATGTCTAACCTGAACCTTCCCCAGTGCAACTTAAGACTATGTCCTCTACTCCGGACATGAATTGCTCCTGGTGCGAAGCCGATCACGCAGCTTTTTCAGCACCGTGTGTGTGCCACGAGGAGGAAAGCACAGCGGCACGGCTGGGCACTGGCGTCACCCCGGGACCACTCACTGCTCCTACTGCTGATGCGCTGCTCCCAACGGCCACAGCTCCCGAGGCACACAGGGGAGAATTGCGAGGTTTAGAAAGTGTGAGTAACGCTCATAATTTATAGTTATTTCCCTTCTCGCTTATAACATTTGGGAATGCAGTGCATCAACGCCAGGCCCCGGGCCATGACGCACCCCCGCGGGGTGACTTGGTCCGGCCCGCGACTCTCCCCGCCGGCCCGCCCGGATGGTGCCGCCCACGTTGAGGCTCGCCGCGCGCAGCGGGAAGATGGCGGCGCCCAGGGCGGCGTGGGACGGGCGGGACGAGCCTTGGAACCGGCTGGACGTGCCCTGGCCCGCGAACAGCGCCACGGTGCCGCTGGCGGCGCAGCACCCCGCAGGTCCCGGCGCGGTGCCGAGGGTTGGGGGGTGTTTGAAGCCGCTCCCGGGTGTTTGCGGTGGGTGGTCGGTCGGTGGGAGCCGGAGGAGTGGCCGGAGCGGTGGCGGGCGCCGGTGCCGACGCTGAGGCGGTGCCCCGGTCTCGCCCGCAGTGAGGTTACTGTCGGCGCTGCGGCGGCGGTGCGACATCGCCGGGAAGCGGCTGTCGGGGCCGGGCTTGGCCGCCGAGGGACGCGTTCTGCGCGCCGTGCTCTACGTGTACCACAGCAGGCTGCTCCGGCACCGGCCCTACCTGGCCCTGCAGCAGGTGAGCACCAACCCCGCCTGGCAGCTGGGTACTCCCGGCCCCCAGTCACCGCTCCCCGAAAAGCCTTTCGAATAGCACTTGGCTCCGGGAGCATCGTGCAAAAAAAAGTTTGTGAGCAGGTGCATTTTTGTTCTCTCACGGTTGAGCCCAGTGGGTTTCCTGGCTCTGTGCAGCAAGCACAACTTCAGTTTTCCTGCCCTGGTCTTCAACACTCATGCTGAGACCTGAAATAGGTACAACTCCATACCTTTGCATACATGAATAATACAGGGACGTCATTCTTAAATAATTGTAATGGTGGGAAGAATAATAATCCTATCCTACTTATTAGATACTTTCTGTTTTAAGATGAAAAGTGAACATCGTGGCAGTTTTCCAAGAAAGGGGTTGTCAGCAGTTTGAAATAACTGTTTTGAAATGGAGTAGGAATGGTGCTTACCTTCTTGACTTTTTTATGTGTTTTCCTTCTTGACATCCAGTAGTAAAGGCCCTTGTATACAGCAGGGAAATCATGCAGCACCATTTGAACATGGTCTACTCCAGTCCTTCATTTAATTCTTTATTTACAGCAGAGTGATGAAGGGATGTGTTTCATCATAGTGCAGATAGAGAAATAAATGTCCCAGAACATCCCATCACACAAACCTCCAGTGTGGGCTGTTAAACTGATAATATAGTGACAGTTTAATATAGTCACAGTTCTTAGACCAGTCTCTCAAAATAGCAGTCAAAGTAGTTTTCTTTTCTCCTAGGTAGAGCAATGTTTGAAGCGCCTGTGGAAAATGAATCTGGTGGGTTGCCTGGAAACTCTGGTAGAACTGATTCCCAAGTAAGTGTCATGATCCCATATCTTGTACTATCCATTAATTCAATCTGCAGAGCTAAAGGAAGACGATGTTAAATCATAACCAACTCTTTATCCTTGTATCAACACAGGAAAAATGCATCCAAAGTCCACACAGAGTGCTTGGTTCCCAGCCAGCCTATGCTGGAAACTGTGGCTTTGAAGGTATTGGGAGGCTGCAAGCTCATACTGCGCCTACTGGATTGTTGCTGTAAAGCTTTTCTGTATCCTTTTTTCACCACAAAAACATTATGTTAAGAGTTCACCAGTAGCACCTCATGAGACCAAAATGAGGTTTTGTGTAGGCCCTGTATGGCTGATGGACTCAGTTGTGCAATTCATACGTGCAACTTGAAGTTTCTTTGATAGCCAGAAACCTTCTTTTCAAGCTATTATGTAGGAACCTCAGGCTGTTTGGCTAGCAGCTCTTCTGGCCTTGAGCCAGAACAGTATCCAAACAAAGTTTGGATACTCATCTCCCAGATTATTCCAGGATATCGCCTTGTGAATTGCCTCTAGTTGGTGTGTTCAGCAGGTCTCATTACATGCTGTTTATTTTTTTAACCTTAACTGCTGTAATCTTCAGCTTGTCCATTAAACACCTCTGCTCGAAGGAATTCATACTCCTGAATACTGTGGCTTCGGGGCTCCTAAGCCGGCTTTGGTTTGTGTGTTCAAAAGTCTGTCTTGTTTGTGTCTGTTTGATGTGCCTGTCAGGGAGAAGGGCTTGTAATTAGGCCTTGCTGCTAAGGGAGCTTTATTCAGTTGGGAGTAGGAGAAGGGGAGATCCCTTCATGCCTTTGGACTTGATTCTAGCACCTGCAGAGTTGTACAGGTAGAGAGAGACTTCTTACATACTCTTATGGAAGGCTTTGTTCTTGGATCTTAATAAACTGGCTGTACCTCTAATGAAATCACAGTGTTAGTGTCAGCGTGCCACAAACACCTGGTACTCTGTGCAGCAAGGAGTAAGTCCTGCTTAATGCTGAAATGGAAAAGCTGGGTTAAAGATGTTCTATTATACTATTGAATTTTCTAGGAAAATTGATTGTTCTGGTTTCTCTGGGAGAAACCAGTCTGGGAAAATAACTGCTATCTGTAGCTGAAGGAGTAAAAACATTGTTAGAACAACTTTCTGTGGCACAAGAAATCTTCTAACTCCAGGAAATGTAGAGCAGGTAATTGTATGGCATCAGGCCTGAGTTGGTGCGGGGTGCTTTTGTGGGAAGACCTCATGGCACCTTGGATGTGATCCAAGAACCTGATGGGTCCCAAGTGTGGCACTCAGCAAAACCTTCCACTCTATGGAAGCAGAGGGGCTACTGATCAGGAATTTTCAAGACACTCCTGCATTCTGATCTGGAACAGTTCCTTAAAGCTCAGACTTAAGGAAAGCAGGGTGATGGAATGTAAAAAGGTACATTTGTACTGAAGGGAAACAGGGAAAGGACCGTTGAGCTGAAGGCAGTTGTTCAGTGAGCATCATGTTTTGCTAGAGGAGGCTCCATTCCTTTTTGTCCTCTGTCTACAGGATTCAGTACAGGTGTGTGTTGCAGACCCTCATGTCCTTGTACAGTGCCTTGTCAACAATGCTTCATCTGGTATCTGAGACACAACAGACCCCTTATATCAAGGGGTTTACCTTCCCTTCTGATATCGGTGACTTCCTTGGAGTTAACGTATCTTCTGAGGCAAAGAAACAAAATGCTAAAATGCTTACAACAAAAAAATCTACCAGCTGGCTGAAGAAGTTCTTCTCAGCATTGCCAGAGGCAATATCAAAGGTTGGGAAAAAGAAAAAATCTGAGACCTGTACAAGTGCTGTGAAAAACTGCAGCATCCTGTGCTCCATGGACATTGGAGAGACAGTTGTGGTGCCCACAACCAGGAGAGGTAAAGCTTAACAGTTTCTGACATCTCAGAGACTGAATGCAACTTCTGTCCAATAGGGCCAAGCACTTCTACTACCCACAGTGTGGTTCTTGTACAAACTCCCTGTCCTTGGAAGAGAATGCTGCATGTGCCCTTGCCTTTATAAAGCTGTGGATGTCAGTATCATGATTTTTGGGGGATGTTTCTTTTAAACAGGATACAGCCTTGAGAGAAGCAGGTAATGAATGCAGTATACAGGTCCTGAAAGTAGTTATTTGTACTTTCCTGCTTTTGCATAGCTAAGAAGCTATGGGCACTTGTCTGCAGTCCATACAAGAGTAGGTAAGGCTGTATGTACAGGATGCAAGTATCCTGTGCTTGATGGTTCTGAGCTGTGCCCAAATCTTTCTCTGCAGTCAGGGCTATGGCCAGTGACTGCAGCCATCCATGTGTTTGTGTGAAGCTTTTTTCCATTAAGTTCTCCTTCGCAGTCATCTGTAAACCTCTGCATGCTCTTCAATCCTTGCCAGCTGCAATGCACGAGTGTAGTCCCCTTGAGTTTGCCTGGAAACGTTGAGTACAGGTGTGAGCCTGCTGAGAGCTCTGTGGCATCTCTGTGCAAAGAAATAAAACTACCTCAGTGTTGTAATGGAACTTTTTTCTCTGTCTGTAGGGAAGCACTCAGGGTTTGATGTGAAGAGCTTGCTTAGGCCATCCAGACATCCCACACAAGAGGTTTGTATGGTATTATTTTACATGTTAGGTTGGTGGGTTTGGGTTTTTTTACACAATAGTTTTGGGGGTTTTTGTATTTTAAAGACTCTAACACTTGAAACATGATATCCCTGATTGAAAATGTCCCCTTTTCCTGCCTTATTTTTGCTTGTCTAGCAACTCAGGTTAGTGTGGAAATTTTGCACAGACAATCAGTGACTGCTTATTTCTGATCAGGAATTTGGGCATTTGTTGGTTTGTCAACTGAAATGACCAGAGACCAAGTCAGCAGTAGACAGGAATACAAATTCTAAATATCTGCCTCTTCTTTTTGCATGTCACAAAACAAGACTGCTCTTCCCTTTTCTCCTTAGTAAATAAGGAATGTTCTCACAAAAGTCCTTGTCTTCTGCTCCTTCCAGCAGAAAGGATTAGACACATCAATCTTTTTAAAACATTGTTACTGTTTGTTTCAGGGTCTAAACACTGCATCAACACCTTTTAAAGCAAAGTCATCAACGCTTTTGTCTCAGCTAGCAAAATCACAGCAGCCTGGATCTCTTGTCCACATGATTCAAACAGCTTTGTCATTTGGGGAACTGTCAGAGGTACTCAGAAAAGCTATTCTGTGGTGCAAAACCAACAAATTCAAATCAGAAGCTTATTTTCTGCGTAACAAGTTGTTGAAAAGCAACCGATTACACCATGTGGAAGCTCAAGGATGCAGGTAGTTTTGCATGGGTGTGTGATTTCTGAGTCTAACATTAGTATTTTAATATTACGTATTTTGCTATAGTATAGTGAAACGCAGTAGTCTAAGCCATTCTTTTAAAACTCACGATCACTAGTTCAGGTTACTGGGTGCTCTGACCATGGGCATTCTGTTTAGCTTCAGTCACTTGTGATTTAAAAAGGATTTAAAAGGCTAACGAATGTACAGTACTTAGGAGGGAGGATGACAATGAAACTTAAATCATCTGCATGTTTTATGGTAACAAATGTATGAGCCAAGGGTTGTGTTTATTCAGACTGATTTGGCTACTATTGTACAAGGTGCTGTTCTGTTTCCTTGGTATGATAAGGAAAATGATAGAGACACGTAATAATGAAATCTGTCCAAACTCCAAATGAAGTGACACTTGAGTAGCTGATAAAGTTCTGCTTTGTACACTTTGCTCCCTTTAAGCTTGAAGAAGAAGCTGCGCTGTGTCAAAACATCTGTATGTAAATACCTCCTCTATGGGTCACAACACGCACGCTGGCCAAGGCAGCACCTCCAGGCACGGTTCTGCCAAAGGAGGATCAGATCATCTGCACTCTTGAAGACCGCTCCAAAGACTGGTGGGCAAAAGCCCCCTGAGCTTTTTGGGGTCTGTGAGAACAGTGCATCACTCAGACTCCCAGCTTACCAAGATGGGTCTCCGAGTCAGGAAGAACATTCCAGCATTGATACAGGACGTGTCAGACTAAGCACAACAGGGACCCCTAAGCAGCTGCTGCTGCAAGGAAGCCCTGGCCCTGTGTGGAAAGAAGCTGCTGAGAACACAGATATTGATTCTATTTTTGCAGCAATAGGTGTCTGATCCTGCACTTGAAGGAGAAAAGGGGTCAAGTCATTCTAGTTTTTTTGGGTTTTTTTGTTTGCTTTTTTTTTAAAGTAAACCCCTCTGAACCCTAATGGTGTCTCATTAATTCACATAATGAATTCTGTTAAGAAAGTAACAACAATTTTATTATGTTTTTGTAAACCAGCTTTTTTTTTAATGGCTGATTGTTAAGGGTGTTTCAAATAACTGAATAGTCACCATCCTTTTACCTACCTTTGTCCAGGAACAGTGACTTTGTTACCCTTACTCCAGTGTCTCCTCTCTACTGCCTGACCACATGTTAAATGCTGCTGTCAAATCCACAGTGCAAACAGTTCCCATCCATGGCAGAAAGGCTGCAGCTGATCACTCACTGCTGCTTTGGACAAAAGACTTGCCAGCACCTTTCCAAGCCTTACACCCTTCCTTCTGTGCTGCTTGTAGAGGGGACAGCCTTGATGTGCAGCATTATTGCTGTTTCAGCATTTGTTATGCTTGTTCTGAAATTAGGAGTTAACTGAACCTACCTTCCCATAGCTGTTCCAGAAGTAGAGAAAAGCACAGGTGTGGCCTGTATTACCCGCCTTGCATGAACTGATCCATATACATTTAGTTATGAAACATGGGCACAAACTTATGTTTTATTCAAGAAGCAAATACAGAGCAAAGAGCACAACTTTGATAGCAGTTTGGGCTTAAAGTCTTCATACAGATAACCAAGATCCATTTTCAGGGTTTCCCGTCACAGGAATACCCAGTGACAACTGAAACAATTTCAGAGAATCATGAATCATCAGCCCTTGAGCCATCTGATGCAACACAGGCCTACTTGAAACAGACTCCTGCCGTTGCAGGCATTTTTAGAGCTCTTTTTCTCATTTCATCAAATGGTATAAAAATACCTAAGTATACCACATACAATCAAGTAACGTTTTAGCTGCTCTAATACTTCTCAGAAAAGGCTGTGAGTCAGGGCAGACATCCCAGCAGTGACCATCCTAAAAAACCCTTCCAAACAATACATGATCTTCCTTCTTACGGGGCAGCAGGTGCCCAAATAATGCCCCGGTGCAGCTTGTGCACAGAATCAAGACCCATAGTTTGCTTCATCAAAGGCCTTTCTGGCTCGTTTCAGTTCTTCATTCATAGTTAGGAGGTCTTTAACTCTGGCAAACTTCCGGGGGTCCTTGCGTATTAGAAAGACAATGTCCTCAACCTGCACCCGACCCTGCCGCCCGATGGACATGGCCTTGTGTGTCTGTTAGAGGGGGAAAAAAAAGTCAGCAGCATCCCTTTGCTATGGTGCTTTTTTAAGGTCTCAATTCCACTTTAGTTCCTGTCATTTTGTAATAAAAAAAGTAAGCAATTGCAGGTTCTGGGCACCATCATCCTAGTCACACGAGAACTTCCCAGTAAACCATGGACTTACTCTGCTGTCACTTACACCCTGAACATAACCACTACATATACATCATATAATGGTATCAGAACGAAGGCCAGATTACATATAGGACACCCAGCCTGCAGAATGGCTGAAGATTAGGCACAATTTGGAAGCAGTGTGAGGTAACTGTATCAGAGGACAGTGTAGGGCATTTTGATAAGGGTAGGAAAGACCAGCATTTCAAAAGAAAGGAGAATGTTTGGATACTTAGAAATGGTATCCAGGTCTGGAAGAGAAATGGCTTCAGGCCCAAGAATGCATTCCTTTTGTAGGGCAGAGCTAAGTTCCCATCCCATGTACAGACACTGGGCAAACACAAAAAGTTGAGACTTTCAAATCTGAGCCACATTTTCTGTCAGCTGCACATACCACAGTGATACCACAGTGAACCCCAAGTCAGCTGGGTATTTCCCCTCCTGCAATATGATCTAACTGCTACTTAAACACTTCAGAGTTCTAAATCCACATGGAGCAAGGTTCATAAATTTTGCTTTCATCTTGAGAAAACAAATTCCAAGTTTATGTTTCTCCTACTAATGCCATGATTTTGGGGCCTGGGATAATGCAGTATTTGAGTCAGAGGTATTAACCTTAAAAAAGCTAAAGTTCCGGTGGGGATGTTTTGACCATGCCATCTAGAGCTGACTTACCATTTCAGTGATAAACTCTATTACCAGGTCCTCAAGAATGTCCACTGATTCTGTATAAGGGTTCTGGTCATCTCCAAATCCATACATCATGCACCTTACTGCACAAAGAAACACTTAGTGTAAGGCTTTCATCCACTCAGTGCTGCACACATCTAGTTAGAGCTCACCAGCCTGCATGTTCCGGCACCAGGATGGCACTCTCATCTGTCAGGCAAGACAAATCTTGAGGAAACATACAGGAAATAAACAGAAGCCAACAAAAGCCCTCCTGTAGGGACAGGAGCTGTACATACAGAAGAGCATGTCTGAGGACAGGCTCTCTGAATATTCATTTAGGCTGCAGGGCACTGCATAGTGACAGCGCAGCTGACTTTGGGCACAGCTAGGTCCAGAGGATGCACTAGCAGTATTTTTGAGGGGGGTCTACATAGCAGACTTCTGCAATTGCAGCCCAGGTACATTGTGAAAGCCGCTGTTTTGCTAAGGAGAAGTGAGTTTTGGGACCCCACAGCTGTCGGCTCGGGGTTTCAGCTGAGTGACCCGGTCAGGTCTGCGCTGGGCAGGGCTCTGAGGCCCGGACCGACTTACACTCTTTGGAGAACAGCCGCTTCCTCCTGCCCTGCCCGCCGTCCAGGCCCCCGCCGGCGTCCTCCGCGTCCTCTTCGAACTACACGGGCACAGCGGAGCGGAGGCCACGGTCAGCGCCCGTCTGGCCCCGGCCTCTTCCCGCCACTCCCCCGTCCGTGGCTGGGCTGTGGATTCCCGGGAAGAATAGCCCCTCCGGCACTCACCGGCACGTCCTCCTCCTCATCCGCCATGGCTGCCCGGCGGCCCGGAACAGCTTCCGCGGGCAGGCTCCGCCCCGCGGCCCCGCCGAGCCGCGCCGGGCGGGAGGGGCGGCGCTGCCGGGCCTGCCTGTGCGGAGCGCACCGCTGTGGTATTGCGGCGTAGGTGTCGTGACCGTCGCCAAACCTGGATATGACATTCATTGTTGGATCGACAGATCGGGATAGCGTGGTTTGAAAGTGAGCTCGGGAGGTGTCTGTTAACCCCCCTGCTCGAAAGAGGGTCAGCCACGAGGTCAGAAAGGGTGGCTTTTCACAGTCGGTTTGTTCGGTTGGCAGGGGCTTTTCCTTCCCTTCAGCGAGGCACACTTGCCCATGTTCACAGAATCATAGAATGTAAAAGAGTTGGAATAAAGGCCCTTAACGATCATCTAACCCCAATTCCCCTGCCGTGTGAAGAAACGTGTTTCCTGGGCTGTTGGGGTGCACTCCGGCTCCAAGACACACATCAGGCAGACAAACCCATGGGAGAAAAGAGGGTGTTCCCTGGTGGCAGGGAGCTTTTATACCCCACGATGGGGACAGAGGGAGAGATCCACAGCCAATGGGACACCAGTGAGGAGTGGTGAGGGGAAGGGTAACCCAGGGGAGAGACCACCAGGGGGTACCGGGACAGGTGAGGGAAAGGCCATGTGGTGGGGAAATGGGGTAACAAATCACGTGATATAACATAAGCTATACAGTGCAATACAAAACTATTCTGTGCAAATTCCCAATCACCCAGTGCAAGAGAACAACTAAATTGGTGCACCACAACAGCCATGGACACGGACCCCTCCCACAAGACCAGGTTGCCCAAGGTAAGTCTCCCTCTTTCAGTTTGTACCCATTCCCCCTTATCCTATCACTACACTTTATGATGGGCCCTGTCTGGCTTCTCTTCGGGATCCCTTCACATACTGGAAGGTTGCTGTGAGGTTTCCACCTGACTGACTCAGCTTGTCTTTGTAGGGGAGGTGCTCCAGTCCTGTTGTATTTCATACAGTTGCTGTCAGCCCCTTTGCTCCAGCCCTGCCCTTGAGCATGTTCACTGTTTCCCCCCAGTTTGGTGCCCTAGGAACGTTTGATAGCAACCTCCTCCAGATTACTCATAAAGATGTTAAACCAGACACATTCCAGAACGCATCCTTGCTGTGTTCCATTTGTAACTGCCATGTGACTGGAGTATGACCCCCTGGCTTCTATGCTCTGAGCTCAATTGTTTAACCTGTTTTTACTGACCTACTAGTGCACCTGTCCAGACTGCAATGTTCTAGTTTTGGACACTTGCAAAAATACTGCCTTTGCAGTGTCAGGGTTATGATGACAGACCAGACCAGACACAAGACAGAGTAGAGGAAGAAAGTGGAGAACGTACTGCTGAAAGACCAGGGAAGATCCACAACGTGAAATCCTTTTCCATGGAAGCTACTACTCAACATCATTTCTGTAAATAACAGCTGTAGAATAGGCAAAGTTTTACCACTTAAGTGAAGCTTATGCACTGCAAACAACTAAAGACAATTGAATTAAAAATGGAAATGAGCTCTACTGTATCAGTATGCTGCCAGGCCCACCCACCACTTATCAATGAGGGCGAAAGGGAGATCTTTTATGTCTCCAGCCTGAGAAAGTGCAGCTCCTCACTCTAAAATTCAACTGGTTCCTTAAGAACCTGGCAAAAAAAGTCCAGTAGTGTGTCAAGACACCTGCTTTCCCAAAGCCTGTTTCCACAAAGGCAATTAAATCCAAGTTTTACTGTTTAGGGAGAGGACTTGATTTTATTTACTGTTTCATCACAGGGGCACTCAAGAATCAAACCATTCGCTCTTGCAAATGACTGAGCAAAATGCAGGAGTTATTCCAGTATCTAAAGCACTTGTGAATAAAACCAAGATGTGGCCCTAGGTAAAACTGGAGAAGATGGTACCTAATGTTCCATGCACACACATACAATTTGTTTGTACAAATGGATTAACTGCACTTATTTAATGTATTTACATGGTTAGTAAAAGACTTCCTAGCACTGTAAGGAGTTTTAAGGAAATGAAAGGGGTTTTGTTCTTGAGGAGGGACTAAAACCAGAAAAGCACTTTTTTACATATTCAGGGTTATTTTCAGAGGCACTTGAGTCAAGGCTGAGGCCTTGAAAATTACAGCCTTGATGTTTTTGGAAGATCCTGGTTTCAAGATACTACAAAAAGGCCCTTCCTACAGATGGAACAGGTGAAAGTGTTCACTTTCACCTGTTCCATCTGTATAGCTACTACTGCATTTCTGGCATCATGCATCCCTTGGGCTGGTTTGTCCTGAAGCATTTTGGGACTAAAGACAAAATATTAACAGAATTACAGGTTTGATCACTAAGGTGCAGAGGCTAGAAAGCCACATTTACTGCATTCCTCACATGCTCATCTTCTTACATGTATGCTGAAAACAGCATACATGTCTAGTGTGGTACAAGAAATTTCACAGTGAAAGAAAGTGATATTTCTAGTCCTTTTGCACTGCCAGAGTGGTTTACAAAAGAACTTTCCTTTCTGGAGGTTTAAACACTTCATTAAAGTAAATGACAACTGCATAACTACATCTGGCCACGTCAAGACATGGCAAAGATTGAGTGCCAGGATTTGACACAGGCAATTCATAGCTTTAGACTAAGTTCTCCTGTATGAGGTCTGCTATTGATGGCTGTCCTTTTGTCCAGTTCTGCCTTGTAACTGGACAGTTTCAAGTGCTCTTAGACAGACACAGCTGCTGTGGGAAGCAGTTCCCCTAAAGCATACAGGACATATCAGTGTTGTGCTTCAGCTGCCAGGCTAAAGCAGATACAGATCATGGATGGTGTGCCTCAGATCTGGCAATTCATCCACGTGGAGCTGCAGAAATTCATGCTGGATCTCAAAACAGAAGGTAGATGCAGCACTGACTCATGACAGTGTGCAGGACAGGGCTCCTCTATATGTCAGTCTTTTATTCCACTCTGTTTCAAGCCAACACTCCTGGAAAAGCAGATCCCATAAAAGATGTGTTCTCTCCTTCATCCTTGTGGAACAGGGACAACTCAATGTCTGCAAGCAAGGCATGCTATCCTGCTACACCTACTGAACACAGGACACAGAAAAGAGTTACAAAAGTAAAATATATAAGATATCAAACACACCTTCACAGATAACAGGTTGGCTATTTCCAGTCTGCATGGCCTTAGAGCAGGTAGGTTGGACAAGAGTAGTTTTTGGCCCCTGCTATCCTAACCCTAACCCCAGATGACAGAAGTAAATCTCTGTGTATCATACAGTTCAACTGGGCAATACAGTTTGCTTAATGTTAGGGCTGTAGTTTTTCTTTCCTAGATTAAATGCCTCTTTAATAATGAAATTACTAGACTGTCTCTAGTATCCTAAATACAGCAGAGGTTAGGCATGGAGTAGTAGATTTTTGAACATTTCAGTGCAGGGAGAGGAGATGCTGTATTAAAACTTCCCTTCTTTATGGAGGCTACCTACTTCTTCTCTCCTTATCACAATCATGTAGGTTTTATGAAACAGTTTTATAATAACCTGGATTAATTCACACTGCAAACTTCCTGAACTGATGAACCTAATAAAGAAAAAATTTAGCTTTATAAATACTAATTTATTCAAAAATACCATAGAGTAACTTAGGTTATTTGCAACAAAAACCTCAGATCTCTGGTTTTGGTACCTTTTGTTCCTGATGAGCCAAGCAGATCAGTAGGTCTTTTCAGCTGGCCTCTACAGTGGGCAGGTTTCCAGTAACATGGGCCACAAAACACCTGAGCAAGTGAACCCCTGAGAACTCCACAGAACTGTGGAAACAGAGGCATAGATGTTCAGTGCCACATATTGATGTGTCTTGGAGTAATAAAGGCAAACAGCCACTGGCTGTGCTCAGTAACATGTCTCAGAGTACAGATTGGGAAAAGCCTGCACTTTAGCTATGTAATCCAACAACTGCAGCTCTTACTGTTACCAGGACTCCAAATAAAATGGGAAAGCCTGCTACCATGCAGCACAGGAATTGCTGCCTTGCTTTGAGAAAGGCCAAAGGAAGAAGCACCCTTGGAAACAAACTTCACTCACTTGCAGAGAAGGGGGAAAGAATGGAAGGGATATTTCCCCATCAGCAGCCCACCCTCTATCCTTAAGGCACAGAGAGGTGCTGCCTCTAGAGCAGACAGACTTGTGTTAGGTATCTTGCCCTACTGAACTCATCACCAGAAAGGCAACAGCAGCAGTGGAGAGGAGCTTTACCTGACCAGGAACAGCTGAGGAAAGCATCCCTGAGTGCTCTCCTTTACAAACTCCTGGATCTTCAGTACATTCTTTAACAATAATCCCCTGGAAGCTCGGTCAATTTTTGTTAACACCATCTGCATGGATCCAGAAAGGGAGGATTCAGAGAAGAAAGTAAGATTACTTTGCTGTTAAGCTGGAACATCTGTAAGAGTCCTAGACCATATTACAAAGCAGTCTGAAAGCTCTGGTCATAACTATGGGAAAAAATAGTCTAACACAGTTCACCAAAACTATGGCCTACATAAGGAGTGTGCCTTTTCAAGCTGCTCAAGCTGAGCACTGGAAAAAAAATAATCTATTTAATAAACCACATAAAACCTCTCTTAAATCCCATTTGTCTCCCTCAACACATTACAAACCTGTTTTATTAACAATAAAGGGTTACTGCTTAGGTAGGTCAACTTGCATAAGCTCAGATGGATGTACACACCTTTCTAGATTACCTGTACCTTATAACTGACCCAAGAATGAAGCATTACTTACCACATAAGGAATCCCAAACTCTTCCAGCATCTCTACTGCAATATGATCTGTTTTCTGGAGTCCAACTACACCATCAACTAATAGAAAAGTCCTCTTCAAGCTGCCAGAAATACAAGCAACAATAATTGTCACCATTATTTCATACCTGCTCTGCTACTTCCAAATTCATAAGCAAAAACAAGTAACATGGGATCTGGGTATAGGAAGAGCCAAGAAAAACCATGCATGGAAACTGAAGGTCAGCATGGAGCAGCACCTCAGTCTTTCCTGCTGTTTTAACCCGTCTGAGCATGAATGAGTGACATTGCAGAAGCTTCCAGGGAAATGATGTCAGAACTAATGGACGGAAGCAGCTACCCCTCTGCATTTTCTCCCCTCATTACATGATGCTGTATAGGGGTGTCTCTCTGGCTTTCCCTGTGCTGAGGTACAGGTAGGTCCCTTACTTGTGCCGCTCCTGCAGATAGGCCTCCACCATCTCAACAAAGTCCTGCGGGGCACGATAGCCGTATCCTGGCATATCCACCAGAGTAAAGTACTTCCCTACTTTGAAGAAATTCATCTTCTTGGTGTGGCCCTGAAGAGAGGATTGAGGCAAGATGAAGCACAGGGGTGGTTTCCAAAAAAGGTGCTTTAAGCAGTGTACTAGGATGTGCTCTGCAAAATATCTCTATACCAGACCCCTGCCCCCCCAGAATGCTTTAAACTGCCCAGTCTCCTACCCATGTAGCAATCCTACATGGCTCTAATCATAAAATGGACTAAAAATACCTTAATGGGTCTCTAAGCTTTGTTCTTCTCAAAGGCCTTTAGAGCAGACCAGCTCAGGTTGTGCAGCTCCTTCATCTGCCTGAAGAGCTAGGCTGGGCTCCTCCTGCCTCTCCCTGGGCTAGAGCAAGGCCAGTGCCAGTCATGAGGATGGCTACCAGAGCTGGCACTTTCTCTCATTTCAGGCTACTCAAGAGCTTGTTCCCTCACAGCCTTCTCAGCCCTATCCTCTGGATGGTAGCAGCTTATGACTCAAACAGAGGGAAGTTAAAAACGTCACTCACTGGAGTTTTTGACACTCTAACTTCCACTTCTGGAGCCAGTGAAAACAAGGCCCGGATTAAAGATGACTTCCCCACATTGCTTCGGCCGATGAAGCACACCTGCAGGGGGAGAGGCAGAGAAGGCACATCTACACCTGCCCACCTCTCTCGGAAGACAGTCCTGGTCACTTCTCAGCCACGAACATGGCAGGCTCCCGCACTGCACAACGGCTAACAACAACAACAACAAATAAACGCTATGTTAAAAAGCAGCAAGTGCCCCACATACTGCGCAGCGCTCTGACAGAGCTGCACAACCATTCCACCACTCCTTTACTGGCGCAGCTGAGCCCAGTCCGGGGTGGCCCGGGAGCGGGGAAGGCGCTACCCCGACACGGTCCCGGCCGAGGAGCGCGGGGGCAGCGCTCGCCTGACCTCGGGCAGGGCCGGCGGCGGGGCATGGTCCATGCGCACGGCGGAGCTCACGTAGTCGATGGGGTGGCCGCGGTCGGACCTGAAGAGCGCCTCGGCGCGCTGCAGGGCAGCCAGCCCGGGCTGGAAGAGGCGGAACGGCGCCGTGTCCGTGCCGGGCGCCAGGTACCGCTCCAGCTTCTGCAGCGGGAACACGATCGCGGTGCGGCGGCTCCGCTCCAGCCGCAGCACCTGGGACAGGGCAGCCAGCGGCAGCGAGGCCCGGCCTGCAGCACCACCCGGCCGCAGCAGCAGCATGCCAGCGGCGGGAGGCAGGACGCGGCCGGCCCCGGAAGGCAGCGGGCGGGACAACGGGGCGGTGCCG